ATTAATTCAAGATATATCATTAATCTAAATATTAATAGTAAATCAGGTCGAGTGCAGTGGCTCACACCTGTAATCCCAGCTCTTTAGGAGGCCAAGGTAGGAGGATCACTTGAGGTCAGGAGTTTGGGACCAACCTGAGCAAGAATGAGACCCCATGCCTACTAAAAATAGAAAAACTAACTGGGTGCGGTGGTGTGCACCTGTAGTCCCAGCTACTGGGGAGGTTGAGGCAGGAGGATTGCTTGAGCTCAGAGTTTGAGGCTACAGTGAGCTATGATGATGCCATTGCGCTCCAGCCTGGGCAACAGAGTAAGACCCTATCTCCAAAACAAACAAACAAAAAAGTAAATCAGTAAAGTTTCTAGAAGAAAATATAGGAAAATATCTTCATAACATTGAGGAAAGCAATGAATTTGTGAACAGTACACAAAAAGCATTAACTACAAAAGAAAAAGTTGTTCAGTTGGATCTCTTTAAAATTAAGACGTTTTCTTCATTAAAAGACACCATTAAGAGAATGAAAAGGCAAGCTACAGAGTGGGAGAAGATAGTCACAATACATATATGAGACTAGGACAAAGGACTCATGAAGAATATATACAGAACTCCTATGAATCAATAAGAAAAAGACACCTCTTTTTCAAAATGGGCAAAAAAACATTGAACATAGATTTCACAAAAGAGCAGAAGAAAAGAAATGGCTAGTAATCATGTGAAAGGTGCTCTACATCATTACTCTTCAGGGAAATACAAACAAAAGCTACGTGAGACAACACTGCACACACACCAACAAGGTTAAAATTAAAAAGACAAACATGCTAAGTGTTATCAAGGATATAGAACAACTTGAGCTCTCATATATTGTCGATGAGAATGTAAATTGGTACAGCCTCTTTGAAAAATTGTTTGACAGAACTTACTAAAACTAAATACACCCCTATTGGCTGGAAGTAGTGACTCATGCCTGTAATCCCAGCACTTTGGGAGGCTTAGGAGGGAGGATTGCTTGAGGCCAGGAGTTGAAGACCAGCCTGGGAAATATAGTGAGATTCATCACTACAAAAAAATTTTTTTAAAAATTAGCCAGGCACACTGGTACATAGCTATAGCTGAAGTGCGAGGATCTCTTGAGCCCAGGAGTTCGAGGCTACAGTGAGCTATGATCACACCACTGCACTCCAGCCTGAGTGACAGAGCAAAACCCTCTCTCTAAAAGAAGAAAGAAAGAAAATACACACCTATCATATATCCTACTCCTGGGTATATATACTCAAGAGAAATGAGTGCTGTGATATTGTGAAATATGTATTTAGTCTTGGTAGGTTTCCTGGCAAAATGCTTGTCTTTTGTATGATAATGGGTTAACTAGTGGGTAGCAGCTCCTAAAGAGCTTCAGGATGGGGGATGGTCACCAGAAAGACCAAGATAAGAGGGACTTTCAGCCCACCTCTGAACCTCCAGGGAGGGGAGAAGAGTTGAAGGTTAAGTTGATCACCAACAGCTAATTATGTACTCAATCATGCCTAGGTAATGATGCTTCCATAAAAGCCCAGAAGGACTGGGTTTGGGAGCTTCTGGATAGCTGAACACGTGGAGGTTCCAGAAGGATCGTGCACCTGGAGAGGGCATGAAAGCTCCAAGCACTTTCCCACATACCTTGCCCTAGGCATCTCTTCTGTCTGGCCATTCCTCTGTATCCTGCGTAATATCCTTTATAAATAAGCCCGTAAACATAAGTAAAGTGTTTCCCTGAGTTCTATGAGCCACCCTGGCAAATTAATCAAACCCAAAGAGGGGATTGTGGGAGCCCGATTTATAGCTGGTCAGTCAGAAGCAAAATAACAACCTGTGCTTACTACCAGCATCCAGAGTGGAGATAGTCTTGTGGGACGAAGCTCTCAACCTGTGGGATCTGATGCTATCTCCAGTGAGATGGTGTCAGAATTGAATTAAATTAGAGGACACCCAGATGGTGTCCGCTGGAGAATCTGCAGGATTGCGTGCTTGGTGTGTGGGGAAATACCCTTATGCATCTGGTGTCAGAAACTTCTTTCCTATATATCCCCATATAAGTGCCTGTGTCCACTGAAAGAAATGTACAAAAATATTCATAGCAGTTTTATTCGTACCAGCCAAGAGGTAGAAACTACCCACCAGGCTATCAGCAGGAGAATGGAGAAGTTATTTGTAGTTAAAAAATGAAATGCTCCATGGAAGTCAAAAAGAATTAAATATGGATACTTGCAATATTATGGATGAATCTCATGAACATTGCGCAGAGTGAAAGAAGCCAGAAACAAAGAGTGCCTACCACACGAATCCATTTCTAAGTAGTTCCAGGACAGAAAGAAGTTAGTGATGGTAACAGAAGTAAAAAACACGGTTCTTTCTGTAGGGGAGTGTTGGTCAAGAATATTAAGTGAAGCAGCGACGTCAAAGTAGACTTGCAGTAATGCAGATATTTAGTTGGATCCTCCGATCCCTTCTAAGCAGGGTAAACAAAGGAATAGAACCATCAGACAGGTGCCGAGATGTTAGCTGTCAGCTGGTCAGGTCTACCTGGCAGTTAACGAACACTGGACACCTCTCAACAGATGGTCAAGTGACATATTGGCCATTTATCATCTGCACATTCATCCAAAACACACTGTGTTGGACTTTCCTTTTTTAGAAGGCAATTTTCAAATAGTAAATATAGATTTTAAAATGGTCATGTCCATCCAGCAGTTCTGCTTATAGGAATATATCCTGTAGAAATACATCTTCACAAGGATATTTAGTTCAGTGTTATTTATAATATTATCTTCATTTTCATATTCTGAATAGGCATCAGCCTCCCTCTGATTCTCACGCCCTCTAAGAAATTTGCCAACCAGAGATTTCAAACCCTAGGATTCTAGATCTCACTTCTCCAGAACATCCCCTCAAATGCCTGGAAACAGTAGTCTTGATACACTGAAGAGTCTTTTATCTTGCTTCAGTATTTCTCAACTATTTTTGACATTATGTGGTTTCCAGACCTCCTTCCACTTAGAAGGAGGCTTGCTCCAGTTTGTTAATACCCACAAAAAGTGCAGTACCAAAAACAAAAACAAAAAACTTGAATGCAGATCTTCTGATACGGACTTACCAGGCAGAATGGAACAGGTTCTTGTCTCTCTCATTCTGACCGCTATACACTATTAATTGTCCTCTAATCCTAAGAGCTGTTTTAACCACAGTCACTTTGCTAGTTCTTATTATGTACTCCACAAAACCTCCAGCCCTGCTTCTGGTGACCTAGAGCTAATCCGAGCCATCCCCAGCTCAGTGCTTGTGGTTTAGCTGAGTGTGCATGCGAATCTGTATTCCTAGCACAAAGAGCGAAAAATAGAAACACCCAGGAACTTGTGTGTAGATGTTGGCCAAAATGTGTGCCTGTCAGTGTGTAACAATTAAGTTGTAAAACAGTAACATTCTTTAGCTGATCTAGCACTCTCTCTCCCCACTCCTTCCCCTCTTATAAGAAGACCCAAACCCAGCTCCCACCTGAGTGAAACTTGGGAAAAGCTGTTCTGGATTTGCTCGTGTTTGCTGTCCTCTGGCCTTACTTTACCCAGCAGCACAGCAGGTGGAGCAGCAAAGGAGAGCAATGAGCCAGACTTCTCACCTTAGTGCCCCAGCCAGCTAACCGGGTGTCTTGGCCATGTCCCTTGGCATCTCCAGATCTCTTCCTGAGCTCACCTTCCTGGCAGCGGTGACAGTAGAGAGAGTTTTCCCCAACCTCAGATCACGGAGCCCTACAGCCTCAAAGCCAAACAAGATCTGAGAAATCACCTTGTACCTCTCCTACAGCAAGGTCCTTTCCCTGGCATCATTACCGGCTGGCCATGCAGCCTCATCCACACTCGGCTTGCATACCTAAACTCACAGCAGCCTTAGTGTTTCTCAGTTAGCACTCCTTGACCACCTGCTGTGTGCCAGGGGCTGTCAGCTACTTTCTCACATGTGATTTTATCCTCACAGCATAGCCATAGCACATTCTTCCCCATTGTACAGACAAGGAAGCTAATAACTAATAAATGCCATGATGTCAGACCATGTGGCCCCAAGCTAGAGGGGCTGGGGGACCGGAACAAGGGCTACAGCCCACAGCCTCATCCTCTCCAGGCTCCACTGCCTTCACTGCCGCCACTTACAAATATAGTCTTGAAGTACTTCGTAATAATCCTCTTTCAAATGTCTAAAAGAGCAGAAGTTTAGAGGTCAGACAGACCTGGTATGGAAGCCCCTGACAGCTTGTAAGCACCTGAATATCTCGATCTGTCTCCATCTTCTCCGTATCTTTCCCTGATGGGCCTGGCATTGCTCCTGGCAGACTGTTGATGCTTTTTGATAGATTAATAATAAAGATATTAGTAATGCTGTGTACTTGTGTGCACATTAACTTTTCCAAGTTATCCTTTTAACTCATAACCCACTTATGAATCCATTCTAAGTACTAGACATTATGCAGAGAGGGGTGGGGGGCATAAATGTGAATTAGAAAGACTGTTGCCCTTACGGATCATCATATCTAGAAGATAAGATATAGGTAGGGTGTGTCTCACAGTGTGATCCTCGCAGCAGCCCCGGCAGGTTGGCTAAGCCAGAATTATTATCCCCATTTTATAATTGGAGAAACCGAGCCCCAGAGAAGTGCAGTGACTGCCTCGAGTGGCACGGCTGAGAGGAGGGCCAGCACCAGGACCTGGGGAACCTGATGCCCAGCTCAGCTCTTCTCATCTGGAGGTTGCGACTACACAGCATTATTAGTTAAAGGAAATAACAGGTTTTTCAAACCCTCACTGCTCTGTAGGTTATGATCTGAAAATTTGCCTGATCGTGCTTTTCCCTTCTTCGAACCCCATCCCCATCTCCCTGTCCTGTAGGAGATATAATATCCTTGCTCTGTCGCGGCTCCCTCCAGCTCACTTACATTTTATTTATTTACACGTATTTCTCTCTCTTTTTCCCTCCAGGTTGTGATCAATTATTCAATCGTGAAAGGGCTGAAGTACAATCAGGCAACACCGACCTTCCACCAGTGGCGAGATGCCCGCCAGGTCTACGGCCTAAACTTTGCAAGTAAGGAAGAAGCAACCACATTCTCCAATGCAATGCTGTTTGCCCTGAACATCATGAATTCCCAAGAAGGAGGTAAGTAGGGCTTTTGTCTTGGCCTAATGCCAAGACCCTCTCTTGTTCTATCCCTGCCCCGTGCAGCTGTGGCTCTCTGGACGTCCTAGCACCGCCACTACATTGAGCTGATGTTACATGGGTTCTGCTGCCTCACTCTAGATTTAGAGAGAGATTGACAGTTTGAAGAAGGAAAAAATGGCAGTTTGTATCATTTTGCCATTTGTGAGATATAGGTATTTATTGACGTGTTCCTAAATCTATATATCCAGGTCTGTTTTGTTTGCCATCCTATTTCCATATTCTAGAACACTCGTTTGGCAGAGTGGGAGAGAACAAACAGCAATTTATTCTTGAATTCAATTATTCATTCATATACTAAGTGTTTTCTAAATATTTAGCGCAAGAAACTGGCTAGGCAAAATAGATAAGAAATATTTAATAAATAGGTTCCTTCCCTTCAAGGCATTTAGTTTTTCAGTTAGACAGATTCATAGACAACTAACTATGATGTATTGCAGTAAGTGCTCTAATAAAGGTACATTCAAGGTATTTAGGGGCCACAGAAAAGGAAATAAGTAACTCCGTCCATCTGGGCCACTAAGGGAGGCTTCCATAGCGGTGGTGACATTTGAGCTGGGGTTCAGAAGGGTGAGGAGTTTATAGACAGAGGCGGGAGTGGGCATCCCAGACAGAAGGAGCAGCAAGCGAAGACAGAGGGCATGTGCTGGGGTAGAGTGAAATGCAGTGTTTCTGGGGCCTGGGCACCGACAGTGGGTTGGTATGAAACTGGAAGGGTGGTGGGGCTTGCACAGTGAAGGGCCCTAAATACCCGGAAGACTTTGAGTGGGCTCGATCTTTGGTGTAGACAGTGGAGGGACGGGGGCTAGCAAAAGTTGCTAAGCAGAGAAGTTAAAAGCAAAGAAGCAAAAATACATGTGGCTTTCATTGGACATTTGCCATGGTAGCTTTGGAGGGAGGAGCCAGGCTTTCCTGGGTGTGGATGTCTTGATTGCGTCAGGTGTGGGCCTGTAGTTGGCATTTAAATGAACTAGAATGTAAAATGTCTGGCAGGCTGCCTGGCACGTAGTAACCACTGAGTGTTACTACTAGATTTACTAGAATCTAGTAGTATCTAGTAGTAATGCCCAGTGTGAGTGTTATTACTGTGGCTATTGCTGCTGCTGCTGTTGCTGCTACTGGAATCGAGGAGGGAAATGGGGAGACATGGTGCTCAGAACCTGGAGGGAAATGGTGCTTAAATGTCTGTTGGGCCTGATAATATTGGAGCTTTGGAGCCCAATTTAAACATTAGGAGAATTTTTTAAGTAAATAAGGACATGTTTTGAGCATGCTCCCCACTGGTCGTACCCAGGAGCAGGTGCTTGTACAGTGCTTTCCCATCACGACAGGGCTCCTGGTTTGTGGATTTTCGGCTGAGAACTGTGTGTGTGGAAGGAAGCTGCTCGGCCACAGCCGTGCTGAGTGATCAGCACAAGGCCTGAAACGTCGCAGGCGCCCACAAATGTTTATTAACCTGTCTTTTCCACCCAAGAGCCTTGATCTTCGTGGTGAAGGGAACCGAGTTTAATGTTTGCAATCTGAACTTACCCACCTGCCCCCAGGATGTGGGAGTTAATCTTTATTTTATCTGTATGTATAGATATATTGAGGGACGAAAAAAAAAAAAAGGTTTTAGACACCTCTTTCAAAGCAAGCACTTAAATTAAATAAAAGCTACTAGTTATTTTATTAAATGCACTGTGGAATCACAAGGAAATCAGTTAATCCAGCCCTCATTTTCAAATAAGCAAGCCGTGACCCATCATGAGTAAATAATTAGCGTCAGATAGGGAGTCAGGTCCAGAATCCGACCTCCCACGTCTGTGGGGTAAATGGATGCCTTGTAGGGGCAGGGGTGGGAGCCACCAGTTAGTTTTGGGTGTGTGGACACACTGTGAGAGTGGCCTGATTTGAGACTTGCCTTAGGAGTAGCAGTTGCTCATCCAGGTGCGGTTGGCATTGGCCTCCTTTCCGTGGTGAGAGCCCGGGGCTAAACGTGTCATGTGCAAATGAAGCATTCAGCTCGGTGCGTATATGTCCCCCGTACACACCGCCAGAGCGTGATAGAACGCGGTCACACCAGAAGGCCCCCTCCCTGCAGTCCCTACTCTCAAGGACAACTACAGTGCCCACTTCCATGTGGCAGAGTCATTTTGACTGTTGTTGTACTTCACATAAATGGGATCATACGCTGTGTGCCTCCTGTGTCTGAGACTGGATGTTATGCTTGAGGGATTCATCCACGCACGGTGTGCATCGGAAGTCGGTGATCTTTCGTTGCACTGTGCACTTCCGTTGTGTGACCCTGTCGCAGCCGATCTGCCCATTCTGCTATCCGTGGGGGGTTAAGACAGTTAGACCTCACGCGGTGCACGGCAGCCTCTCTTCCACCACTACCACAGAGGCTTGTGAGGCTCTCTATTAAATCCCCTCTGTGTTGGGGAAATTCCATCCTACCCTCCCTCAGTAGGAGGCAGTTTGCAGTAGTGAAAAAAGCATCTGTTTGGGGGCAGCCAGATCGTACATTGACTTTTCGCTGTGCCACCTGTGTGGCTTTAGAATTATAAACCCTATTTCTTAGAGTTGTTATGAAGATTAAATTTGAAATGCTTATAAAGCACATAGTATATAGTGCCTGGTATATGATGAGAGCTCAAATAATATTGATTCTTTCCCTTTTGGTCTTGTTCAATTTGATTATCGTCTCTAAGCTTCAGTTTCCGTATCTGTAAAATGACATCTTAAGTCCCACTTCCCAGAGTGGTGGGGAGGATTCAAAGGCCCAGGGTGGTGCCTGGCACCTTGGAAACACTCAGCCAAAACTCCTTCCTCTCCTCACGGGCTCATCTTTTTGGGTGGTAGGTATGTGGGGTCCGTGAAGCCTGCTTGGGGCTGTTCCTCAACCACCTTGGGATCACAGTCCCTACTAAGACTCAGCGTCTCCTCAGGTTGGGTCTTGCTCAGCATCGCCCACCACTTCCTCCCCGTGTGTGGACAGACACTAGTATGGACTCTTCCTGGTCATCCGGGCCTCGTAGATACAAGACACTTACATACTAAACCTAAGAACAAATTGTATTTGCCCTGCACTTGGTATTGGACAGTGTCTTCCCATCTTTGTTCATAGATGATTCTTGCCACAGCCCTGGGAGATGAGTTCCCAGATAACATCCCTCTTCTCTAGGTTAGGAAGCCAAGGCTCAGAGAGGAAAGTGACTTCCCTTCCCTGTAATCCCACAGCCAGAGAATGAGCTAAAATTTGAACTCAGAACTTCACTCATTCACGCAGTTTGTACTGTCTCTGTGCTAAAGATGGGCAGGGGCCATACTTCTGTGTTCTTCTTTTTGTCCTTTCAGCCTTTGAACAGTGAAACCCACTGTTGAATCGGGATTCTTAAAATTATTCTAGAGAAAGGATGGGTACAACAGAATATTTCTACTGCCTGAGTTCTACATGGCAGAGATACTCAGGCATTGAAAGATCTGTCTTTCTGACATTTTTACTTGATACTCACAGAATCTTACAGCGATAGTTTTGGATACTCATTCTTCACCTTCAGGCCCAACCTAGGGAACCTAAAGTCAATTTAGCAGGTAAAACAATAGATAAATAAAATAATACTCATGGATCATGGTAGTTACATTTCCCTGGGGGGAGGAAAGGAGTACAGAGCTAGCTTTGAGTTCACTGGGGACCTGGACAAGGCTCTAGTTTCAGGAGTTATCTCAGTGCATATAGATAGTCAGTCACTGGGTTACTGGGGCTTTTTCTACAGAAATTGACATCTGGAAATTATTTGAGGAGACAGGGAGGGGCTCTTTTCTGGGTGAATGAGGAGCTCCTTGAGTGGGTTAACTCTGTGTAGCCCCTATTGGCGGAAACAGAGTGCCGCAGCCTAGCTGTGGCTATCTGTGTCCATTGTTGGTCCGTGCTATTTATAGAGCATGGCTCACAGACCAGCGGCCCAGCTTCTCTGGGTGCCGTGTGACGGGGCATGATGGCCAGGAATGGTGCGCATGCTTTGGTGGGAACGCAGAGTGGGGCTTCTTTGGCCAAGTTGTATGATAAAGATAATGATTATAGTAATAATAACATCTAGGCTTTCTCATCAAAGGCTGGGCTTTTTGTTTTTGCCAGGCTACTTCTCCTATATGCCCCTTCCCCGCCCTGCTTAACGAAAGGCTCCCACCAGCCAAGCAACCTAGTGGGGTAAGGGCCTAGCAGCTCCACAGGAAGATGCTATAAGCCGAGAAAGTACTTCCTTATACTCTAAACCATTTATAATTTGGCTTTCATTTCCAGTAGGTAGTCAGGCCAGCTACTGTTACACACATTTATTCACATGGGGGCCTAGGATTCAAAAAAGTGATATGTCTACCAGAATCTTCCAGTGGAATTGAGACTGAAATTTAGGGCTTCTGGTTTGAAATTCAGTACTTTTTCTGTAACTCCGCACTGCTTTTGCAGGTCAGAGAGGAAGACTGACAAGCTGTTTTCCTTGTACCCACAGTCCCAGGTGGCCTCACTTTTGGGATCTGGACTTGGGTAGGACAGTGAGCATGGCCCATGCCAGGCTTCCAGCCCCTGACAGAAGAGTGACTGAAAAACAGGCCTCAGAGTCCATGGTCTGCCTCAGCGCTGACTTGCTGATACCAACTCCAGGAAGCCCCTTACTTAGACTTCCGCCGCCTGCATCTTCAGTGGGAGCACACTTTCCTTCTACGGAAGCCGGCAGTCTCAGGCAGGGAGGACTGTTTACAGGCTGTTCCTTGGCACCCCAGCCCAGCTCAGTTTTCTTCCCTTCTACAATTTATTCTCATATCAGATATCAGTTCATAGTTTAGGAGCCTTAAAAGGCTGCTGCTTCTGTATGCTTTTATATGATTCTGCCACTGACTCGCTAGGTGACCTTAAACAGGTCATTTCTCCATGGGCCTCAGTTTCCCCATCTTTGAAT